ACGGCGTGGTCCATCTCTGGAGCATCGAGAAGCTTCACGATCGCGTCAGGCAAATGCGCCAGATGTATCAGTATCTCGACCAGCCGGAATATGCGCGCCATCTCAGCCTGGACAATCCGTTTGTGGAGATGTGCATGCCGCAGTTTACTCTGGTGGGCGAGGCAGACATCCCGCTAAGGGCCGTGTTCGACTGCAGGGTCCAGGATTTCACAGCTGACGTCTTTTCACCACACACATCACACGCTATTGGAATTATCAAGTTGGCTTTGGAGCCATCGAGCGCCCGAGCCCCAACCAACACGCTCAAGTTTAATGTCGTTATGCACGAGATGATTGGCTTTGCGGAGCGCGAGGGCACAGAGGTGCACGCCCAGTTATTTATTCCTGGCATCTCGGAGGAGGATGGCATCACAACCACCCAGATGATCAAGGACTTCGACGAGGGGCCGATCCGGTTTGAGAGCGTTCATAGCATGAGCGTGCCGTTGTTTGCGCCCCCTGAGACGACCCTGCGGGTGGCTATTTTTGCCAGGGTGTCAGCCATGCACCTTGACAAGTTGCTGAGCTGGGACGACATGAGAGATGCGGTACCTGCTTCGCGGGCTGGGGGAAGGGGTGCGCGACTGAATGAGTCGCAGTTCTTTACCGAGGAGAAGCACGATTTGTTGGCCCGCGTCCAGATCCTGGAGCTGAACGAAGAGGGGAATTACGCCCCCGTGGAAGTTGCGCAGACGAGCGAGCTCGATGCAGGAACCTTCCACCTCCACCAAGGGCTGCAGAGGCGTATTGCTATCAACCTTACACACAGCTCTGGCGATGCGCTGCCATGGGACGATGTGACGGTGATGCGGGTCGGAAAGATACAATTGCTAGACAGCGCAGGAAAGACACCCGACATGGGCTCAGCTAGCCCCGACCTGCCGCTGAAGCTGTCGTCCAAGCCCCTCTTCCGGACCAATGCAAACGGCACTCGGAGCATCACCATGGTTGGCCAGTGGGACTCTAGCTTACACGACTCCCTTCTCCTCGATCGAGTCACGGCGGATAAGTATCGCGTCCAGATGACGGTATCGTGGGAGATCAGTTCCGAAAAGCTGGCTGAGCCGATGAAGTTCTCGATGAACATGTGCGTCCAAATTGTGTCGCGCTCCTTCGTCCGCCAGACATCGATGCTCACAGCCCTCTGGCAAAACGTCCGGTTTGTGCAGTGCTCAACGGGGGTATTTACGCTGCAGATGCGGCCAGCGCCCATCAAGCGCGTGGGTGACCTGTGGCGGATGAGCAGCCAGCACGACTACGTCAAAGGGGAGGAGAATCTGGCAGCTTGGACACCTCGCGGTGTTTCGCTGATTGCTGACTACATTGGGTCGCGAAAGAAGAAACGGACCATGTCCGAAATTGCAGTCACGCAGAACTTCCTTCGCAAGATTGGTTTCAGTGGCGAAGCACACGGCGTGGAGGAGGTCGAGGATGACGACATTCCGCCTCCCCCCCTGATGAGCGATACCGACTCCATTGCTGAATTGCTCAACGACACCCCTGAACCGTCGGAAGGCCCTACGCCACCAGGCTCGCCACCCGCAGGGAACGACGATACCCTCAAGCCGTTTGACCCCGAGCAACCAACCCCGGCAGCAGCAGAGGCGGCGCCAGAGCCGGAGCACGAGCCAGCACCTAAGCCCGAGTACACAGAGGACCAAGAAGCTCTCTTGAAGCGGTGTCTGAAGCTCTGGCTTCGCTACCCCGACCCAATGCTCAAAATTCTGAGTCCTGCCAACACAGACCCTCCAGCCAACGGCGTATCATCCACCGACTCGCCACCACCGACCCCTGAGTTCATCGCTACCGTCATCCGTGTAGCCAAGAACCCCACCGTGCTGAAGGGTGGATACCTCCTTGTGCCCAGCAGTGATGCCACGCGATGGATCAAGCGCTTCGTGGAGCTTCGCCGCCCCTACCTCCACGTCCACAACGTCACAGACGGTGAGGAAGTTGCCATTGTCAGCCTTCGCAACTGCAGGGTTGACAGCCAGCCTGGCATCCTCGGCTTGCTCAACGGCGGGGGAGATTACAGCAACGGGCAGGACGGCGATAGAGCCAACGGGGCCACCTACCGACCGGGGCACAGGAGGACCGCGTCGGGCAGGCTGATCTCGACAATCTGGACGGGCACGGGACTTGGCGGGGGCGGAGGGATGCAGAAGCTGAGCGAGAGGCTGCAGCAGGGCGTGTTTGCCGTGTACGGAACGGACAACACGTGGTTGTTTGCGGCCAAGAGCGAGCGGGAGAAGATGGATTGGATTACCAGGATTGATCAGAGTTTCCTTTCGTCGAGCGCAAGCGGGAGCGGAGCCGCGACGCCTGAATGGCAGATGGGGATGAGCGGGTTTCCCGAGTGAGTGAGAGAGAGGAGGAGACATACCTGGCTGGGAAGGTATAGGATAGGAAAGAAGCAAGCAAGGAAAGAGAGTTCTTAGCATTTAGGGCATGGGATACCCCGGGCAGAAAGCGAGAAAGCGAGAGAGAGCAGAATACGATACCTAAATGGTTCATGGCATGGCGGATACCTACGTCACAGACGCGTTATAGAGTGGGGGATGTGCACCCTTGAGTTGAGGGCAGGGACATGACTGAAATGAGATATGGTTTCTTTTTTGGCGTGTTTGCTTGCCTCTTGGTATCTGGTGCGGATGGTGCAGTCGACTCTACTCATTTTTCTTGGGCTCTGTGTGAGGGACGACGGGCGATGGTTTATAGACGGGGGTGAGGCGAACGGGCCGTTTCTTGCGTCATTCAGGTTGGGATCAGAGCGGAGGATGAGGACATCACACTGACTCGTAACGTCAGCAAGTTTCCTTTGTTTGGGCCATTTGGGTTGTGTATGAGGTACCTGTATCAGCACTCTTGTACGTCGTAGGTAGTCGGTTAGCTTGGATTATACCCCAGTTCAGTTTGGAAGTGCAGGGTGGAGGATAGACAGATTGATGCCTAGCGAGGTAGATAGGGCGAGGGGCCGGATGGAAAATAGTCAAGGAAATCAGATGAAACTTCACTCATGTCACTTAGCAACTTACTTGGCTTTTGCTCTGCTCGCATTACAAACTAACATTGATTTTCATTTCCCTATTATACAACCTTCACCTTTTTTTTTTGGCTTTCAACCTAAGCAACAAACCTCTTCTTCTTGGTGCACGCCTTCCCCTTGTCCTCCTTGTCCTCCTTCTCCTTGGCGAACTTCTTGAAAATCTCAATCAGCCCGTCGTACGCCGGCTTCTTGGTCCAGTCCTCATTCCACGGCAGGGCGGCGCCGTTGTCGGGGAAGACGTGGGGGATCCAGCTGAAGGGGTCATAGAAATCCCAGAGGGTGATGCCGACGCACTGCGGGACGCGGATGCACGACTCGGCGACGAACTGGTAGCTCTCCTTTTGCCAGGCGAGCTTGCTCTCGTTGACGGGGACCTTGATGCGGACGTCGAGCTCGGTGAAGGCGACCTCGGGGACGAGCTCGGCGTAGGCCGTCAGGGTCTTGACGTGGTCTTCCATGGTGGGGTGGTTGTCGGCGTGGAGGTGGCCCTGCATGCCGACGCCGTCAATCTTGATGCCGGCGTCCTTGAGCATCTTGACGATGCGGATGGCGCCGGCCGTCTTGACGGAAGCCGGGCGCTCGATGCCGTAGTCGTTGTAGTAGAGCTTGGCCTCGGGGTCGGCCTCGGCGGCCCACTGGAAGGCGAGCTTGATGTACTCCTCGCCAAGGACGTTGTAAAAGACGGACTTGCGGTAGGTGCCGTCCTCGTCGAGGGCCTCGTTAACCACGTCCCAGTGGGCGCACTGGCCCTTCCAGTGGCCGGCGACGCCGAAGATGTGGCGCTTGATGACGGCCTTGAGCTCGTCGGGCGTCCACTTGGTCTGCTCAACCCAGGGCGCGAGCTGGCTGTGCCAGACGAGGGCGTGGCAGCGCAGCATCTTGCCTGTCTTCTTGGCGAGGTTGGCCACGTAGTCGCCCTCGGTGAAGTTGAAGACGCCGGGCTCGGGCTCGACAAACATCCACTTTTGGCCGTTGGTCGGCGTCGTCTGGCCAAACTCCTTGGGATCGGCAAAGATCTCGTCATACTTTGCGTACTGGGCCGCGTAGGGCTCGCGCTCGCGGAAGCCGGGCGTGTCGGTGGCGGCGCCGAAGAAGTCGAGTCCGGCCTTTTGGGCCCAGTAGTGCAGCTGCGCCGATGCCAGGGGGACCGTGGCGGCCGCCAGGACGGAGCTGGAGAGCCTCATTGTGACGCTTGAGAAAGAAGGGCGAGAGCTAGAGACCGGGGAGATGCTAGCTGCGGACAGGCGCACAACAACAAAGGGATCTTTCCCTCCCGTCGGTGAGGGGTCGCCATCACTTATATAGAGAATACGTCTCTCAGTCGAAATCGCACTCTCAGGCACGTATTCTTACCCGGCTCCATGGAAACGGGAGCAAATCGCAATCATTCCATATTAACCATCGCGTCCGCGTACCTGCGTGGTCACCCAAGCCCGTGTAAAAGGGGGGGATCAAGATGCTTCCCAGGTCCGCCCCCCCGAAAATGGAACTGCCCTTTCAGCCGAACCAGCCAGCGTCGCATGGCGCCCAGGAGCCCGCAATTACCGTGAAATGTCGTCGTCCATGGCGGCTCGGCCATCGCAAGCGTCCGGGTAAAGGCGTCGCCGCTTGCCTGTCCGCCGTTGCATCCCGGCTATTAAGGACGTCCGCGTAGCTCCTTCCCGTAGCTACGTACCCATTGATGTGCAAACAGCCGTTTTTCTTGGGGTGCTATTGGCGAATAACAATGCCCTTGGCAAGCGCAGCAAACGTGAGGTGTCGTCAACGTCCGCTTGGGGAAGGAAGCGCTCGAATCAATGCAACCTTCCCCGACGTCCGCCGCGGGAATAACACTCGACCAAGAGCTCATGAATCATGATTTCTCCATGCCCATCGACAGCAAGAAAGAGTGAATGATCAGCAAAAAGAAGAGTTTCGACCAAGCTGGGGCTCGAACCCAGAACCTTTACCAGCCTCGCTAGAGGCCTTGTTGATTTTCAGGACATCTTGCACCGGAAAGTAACGCCCTACCATTGGGCCACTCGGCCTATTCTGTGTCGATTGATGTTCAGGGCCGAGTAGTTTGCGCCTTTGTGGGTGCATGGATGTGTGGGATGGAAGGGCTGGGAGTGGAGATGCGGTGGGAAAGCTTCCTGTGGGCGAGTCATGGCATGTGGATGCCAGGAAGGAACCCACTTCTTCGGCGGCAGGCAGGAAGCTTCAAATGGCCCGGAGTTTGTGGGCCAACGCCCAAGTAAACAAAGGAAACCAAAAAAAAGGCTTCTGGTTGCGGAAGGAATGAGTTTGTTGTTTTCCCCTATCACTCGATCTGAAGGAGTCCATCCCTCCGTACATTCCCATCGCCTTGCTTTACAAGGTGGAAACCATGGAGAGATCTGTCGGGCTCCTCTTTAGTTTTGAAGACAGCTCTTTTCTTGCGTTGTAGGACTTTGTCATCCTTGTAAATACCTAAACGGATCTTCCTGTCATGTGGGCTCGTAGCTCCAATACAAGTCCCAAGCACCTTCCTGACCTGCTGTGGGCTCACAAGGCTGTGCAGATCAACGCACCCCTAGGTGATTATGTCTATCTGTAAGTTCCCTCGGCCAGCTCAACATTCTCAGCCTTCGTAAAATGCCCTAAAGCGTAGCACTAAGATATCGAGATAATTAACATGTGCTCCTCCAAGACAACATGGTAAACGACTAAACCCGTCAAAGCCTCCCAAAACCCCTTGACTAGTTGGTTGCGGTCAAAGGCATATACATGTGGCACGAGCCTTCACACAAACTCCAAGGGCCCAAACAATTCCTCTTGTAAGACATCTTCGTCTTCAATTTCCTCAATCGGATCGCCGGCGTAGTTTGGAAGAGCCCGGATATTGGCTCTGCCGTCATGAGCTCGCTTCCTCTGTCGGCCTCTTTGCCTTCTCGCAAAAGTAAGCGGCACGGCAGCTCCCGCCGGTCGTGACACCTGGTTGTGGGTAGACCGGCTCCCGACAAACAGTTTTGGCGGTGCGAACCTGAAGTGCGGCTCATTGCTTCCTGCAACAGATTGGGCAGGTTCAACCGCCATCGATGTCACCATCGAAGGCACCGCCGAAGGAGCTACCGATGTCTGGTCATCCAGAGACTCCTGATCGCTGCATTTGGGTTCCATGGAAGCGGCCAGCCGGGGTCCACCATCGCGGTTGGTGGAACAGTCGGTCCCTGGAGACATGCTGCTGTCCGCCTCAGTCATGGTTCTGGACAGCTGGGTAGCGGCATGTGGACTGCTAGCTGTCAGATCTGACGGCATCTCTGCCGATGATGGCGCCAATGTCGCTTCCCGGCTTGCAGAAACAGCGGCAGCTGACAGATCCCCAGGTGTCGCAAGAGAGCCGGTGAAGGGAGTCCCCGGTACGGCCAGGATGCTGTCCAACTCGGACAGTGGTTCCTCGGTAATGTAGGTCAAGCGATCGGGCGGTTGCATTCTTCGAGCCTCATCCTTTGTAGCTTCGTTGAACGCTTCCTCCAACTCGTCTGTGTTGTCATCTCCAAATACGAATAGTTTCCACGCGTCGTCGGATGAGTCCTCGTTTGGTGGCCTTACATCTTGAACCGGGGTTCGAGGAAGCGCTGGAGGAGTAAAACGAACGTCGCCACGTTGTGTGGCCTTTGTCGTCCGAATAGGGTCGCGGTTGTCTGGTAGCTGCACCTGGGGTTCTTCTGGCTCAGACTCTTCGTGTGACCCGTGGAGCCCAACCTTGGACAAGATTGCATCGTACTGACTGAGTATCTGCGAAAACTCGCTTGAACTCGGGACATTCACGGGCCATTGGGTGCCACCAGAACTCCCCCCCTCGGCTTCGCTCGGGGTAATCTCAACCGGGGCTGAAATGGGCTGGAACCAATCTCTGGCGGGGCGTCTTTCACTAATCCCTGGGCTGATGTCTGCTCTGTTTGGCGACAATCGACCATAGATGGTGGCATCATCTGTAATTAGGGACGCGGCGGTGGACTCTCCCAGCCATCTCCGCCAAGCCGTATTCTCCTCTGTCTGAGACAAAGGAACGGGAGATATTGGTCGACCGACTTGAGCTACAGCGCTGCCCGAGTAGGCAGATTGTTCTGGGTCAAGTGAGTATACTTGACTGGGAATGGCCCGAAACGGAATAGGGTGAATCAGATTCGGGTTCTGATCCTGTCTTGGTCCTTCGAAGTAGTTAGACCTCGCAGGTCTTTCGGCAGGTCTGTTAGTGTTGCCATGGAAGGGCGACACAGGCCTAGCGGGTGGCTGCTCCCAGTGGTGAAAAACTCCCTTCTAAGGAGCTGGATGCGAGTCAGCCGAGATACGAGTGCGGGAATGAAGTTAAACATGCCGCTCATATTCCCCTTGAAGGGCAAGCCGTGTGTTGCGTGATGCGGGCTAATCAGCGAGTTCGTTGCGTTTGGTCTCTTGGCGGTTGATGTCTCCCCAAGTTGAGGTAATTCGTCCCGTCGACCAGCCTCAGCCAAAGATGCATTTCTTTTGAGTCTCCGCTGTCGATGCATACGCCTCAGTCTCTCCTCCATTGAGAGCTTACGTGGAGTTGGCCGCTTTTCTGCATTCGGGAAATATTTGGATACTTTATTAGCCGTTGGTCGGCGAGGAAGCCGTCGGCTGCGAGCAGCTGTTTCCGCTCCAGAGGGATCCCGATCAGTGAGTGGTATGGGTCTGGTGCTCTCTGCATTTTGCTGTCTAGATTCTGATGATCGCCTGAATGTTGGGTCTGCGTGCTGGGCTAAGAACTCGGCAACGCTCTGGAATGGACCTGTTGAAGGAACTGGAGTGGGCGCCAGTCGCTTCCTAACCTCCTCAATCCTCTCTGAGGGGCCCAGATCTTGGTAGTATCGTATGAGAGATGAAGCGGATCGACGAGAGCCCCGGGAGCCATGAGAGCCGCGAGAGCCGCGAGAACCATGGGATCGGTGTGATGCTGCAGGGCTGGCGTGACGTGGGGGATTGAGAGGATCTTTGTTAGCAGTACCACCCCCTCCAATTTCACGAGCGCGAACTCTTGCAAAGTATTCCTTTTGCCGTTGACGAGCTGGGTTAGGCTTCTTCACACTCCTCCGGCTGGCCCGGTGGAGGGTACCCTCCGTCCAGTTCATCGAGGATGCTGAGTGAGAGTTGTTGCAGTGACGCACAGGTGCATCGAAATGTGAAGAGCGTGGGAAAGGATGCAAACTGGCTCAATTAGACCTCTAAATAAGTACAAACCGCAAACTGACGACGACAAAACTCGCGCCAGAAGCGTCCAAGGTGAAGGGCCGTTCGCTCTTGCCAAGACAAAGCCGTTGTTGATCTGCATCCCTGTGGCGTTAGCTTAACCCCCTGAGGCTCCCAGTTCAACCCCTGTAATTGGCCGAAGCCAACCCCAGCGACCCCAACAGCCCCGCACCCCAATGACATCCCTCAACCTCCATCCCACTTTCCCGGCGCAGCTCTCGGAGCCACCATCACGAAATGCGATCAGCAACCTGGAGGACAGCCCGAGTCCTCACCACATCCGTCCTCACCCCCAGAAAACCACTCCTATCCAACCGCACCCTGTTCCCCCTCCCAACCCTCTTTCGCAAAATGGCCACCTCCCACCCCCCCATCCTCAAACAACCCGTCAAGCTCGCTTGCATCCAACTCGCCTCAGGCCCCTCCAAACCCACCAACCTCACGCACGCCGCCTCCAAAGTCCACGAAGCCGCCGCCTCGGGCGCCAAGATCGTCGTCCTCCCCGAATGCTTCAACTCCCCCTACGGATGCGACTACTTCCCCTCCTACGCCGAGACCCTCCTCCCGTCACCCCCCTCGGCAGAAGCCTCCCCCTCGTTCCACGCGCTCTCTGCCATGGCGCGCGACAACAACGTCTACCTCATCGGCGGATCCATCCCCGAGCTGGTCGTCTCGGAGACGGACACTTCTTCCAAGACATACTACAACACCAGTTTGACGTTCTCGCCTAAGGGGGGGTTACTCGCTACTCATAGGAAGGTGCATCTGTTTGACATTGATATTCCGGGGAAGATCAAGTTCAAGGAATCAGATGTCTTGTCGCCGGGCGACAAGGTCACGGTTGTGGATCTTCCAGAATACGGGAAGGTTGGAATTGCGATTTGCTACGATGTGCGGTTCCCCGAGCTGGCGATGATCGCGGCAAGGCAAGGATGTTTTGCGCTGGTTTATCCCGGGGCGTTCAACACGACGACGGGGCCGATGCATTGGCGGTTGTTGGGGCAGGCTAGGGCGGTGGACAACCAGGTTTATGTTGCGCTGTGCAGCCCCGCGAGGGACGTGAGCGCGAGTTATCATGCGTGGGGACACAGTTTGATCTCGGACCCAATGGCGCAGGTGTTGGTGGAGGCGGATGAGAACGAGACGATCGTGAGCGCAGATCTGGATGGGGCGAGGATTGAGGAGGCGAGAAAGGGGATTCCCTTGAGTGACCAGAGGAGGTTCGATGTTTACCCTGATGTGAGTAAGGCGAGGGTGGGTCCTTGAGCCCTTGCGTGTTTGCATATACCCAGCATTGTGAATCCACGCCAGCAATAACGCAAACAAATGTGGAATATGGGCATATTTTCTCTACCTTCTGCAGAGATCATCGGTATCTTCTATGGGGAGCTCTGTCTTGTAGTCGGTCTGCATCTGACCCCAGTCTTCACAGCTCTCAGCCCCTTGCAGTCTCCCCGTCGCCATTTTTCATTTCTTGTCATTAGAGTTCATTACTCCTCATGACTTGACCAATAGTTTATTGCAGAGCAAGCCGGGCAAAAGTGGGCAGAACGAAGCTGGCCTTGTGAATCTCCGCGTTGTAGTACTTGCAGAGCTTGACCTCCTCTTCGGGGGACCACGAGCGGAGAGGAACTTTGACGTTGCGGTTGGCGTCCTTGCAGCAGACCATGAAGCCGATCTGGCCGCCGGGGTAGGTGGGGATGGTGGTGTAAGCCCACTCAGCCACGGGGAAGACCTCCTTGCAGTCCTTCTTCAGCTGAGAGATGATGTGCATGTGGATCCACTGGTTCTCGGCTGA